CCCCGCCGCTCGCAGAGCATCCCCCTGGTGGTGGACCATGTGCCGCTGTGCTTGGCCGTCACCGAGCTCCGGGCCCCCGGAGCCGGCGTCGCCTGCGGGCTGGTCGACGTGTCGACGGCGGTCCTCCTCGCGGCCGGGCCGGGCGTGAGGCTTCTCGGCGCGCCGAGGCTGGTGGCCCTGTCGGCCGGGTGCGCGGCCCCGGCGCAGCACTTCCTCCTGCATGCCATCCACCAGCCGGTGGCCAGCCTGGATGTGCTGTTCGCGCCGGCCGGCGGGCCGGTGGCCCGGGCGCTGGCCGGCTGGCAGCCCGCCGACCCGGACGGGCCATTTTACGTGAAGCACCGCGAGCGGGTGCTGGCGCTCCGGTACGGCGGCTGCGCTCTCGTGTGCGCAGGGGTCTCCCCCCCTCCCCCCCTCCCCCCCTGTTGGCTGACCGCGCGCCATGCAGCATCTGCCCCCGGCCGACCGTGCCGGGGATCGGCCTACGCGCCGGGCCGAAGCTGGCCCTGTCGCTGGACCCGGATCCCACGGGGCGGCCCGTGTCGCTGGAGCTGTGCGAGGCGCCGCCGGCGGTGGCGGTCGCCTGGCTGGAGACCGATGTGAAGCTCGACGAGGTGGACCGCGCGCGCATGCACGGCGAGCTGCTCGGCGCCCCGCTCGGGGCCGGCGATGTGCGTGGCCGCGCCCTCGCCTTCCTGTTTCCCCCCCCTCCGCCGGGCCGGCTCCCCCCGTTGGGGCCTTTGGCCCTGGTTGTTGCCCGGCCTGACACCCTGCTTGCAGATGATCCGCCTCGTCTCGCCGGAGCTCCTGGCGCGCGTGGTCCGCCTGCAGGGGTGGGACTTCGACGCGCTGCCCATGGGCAGGCTGGCCCCCCTGTCGGACCAGACGCTGTGCTACGTGCAAACGGCGCACGGCCCCCCGACGCACGCGCAGCAGCTGGTGCTCCTGCCAGCCGGGCCGCATGGCACGGACGTCCTCATGCTGGTTCCCCTGTTGATGGAGTGCGCGCCGGGCACGCTGCTCGTGTCGGAGGCGGCCTTCCGGCGGCTGGCCCTCGGCGCGCCCCTTGGCTCCCTCCTCTTCGCCTGTCAGGGAGGGTTCCTGGCTGTGCGGTGCGTGTGCCGCACCGCGGTGTGTCTCGCGTGTATGTGGCTGTCTGCTGATTGATTTTGCTGTGTGCCGCAGGCCGAGCGACGAGGTCGGCCGCTTCGACGTCGGCATCCACCCGCAGGACGCCGAGCAGCTGGGCCTGCCGAGCGCCGCGCCGCTGGTGCTGGAGCGGGCGCCGCGCATCCCGCCGGCGAGCAGCGCCACGGTGGCCTTCTGGCCGGCGGAGGGGTGCTCCCCGGCC